TCCATATGTAACTAGAGCTTAACATAATAAGGACTCCGACAATATTATATACATATACATATGTGATTTTCATAAATACTATCGTTGGTATTATTTAATATTGACTGGAATTCCTGAAAATTTTGTTTTATCTTTATAATTGATCAGTCGGCCATTTACTTATATATAAATAAATATGGACACTTAATTATTTATCATAATAAAATAAATAATTGAAATATACAGTCATAAAAGGAAATGGCTAGTGTCAATTGCAGGAATGAAATAATAATGAGTACAAAAAAAAAAAAAAAAAAAAAAAAAAGGAGAAATGAAAATACATATCAAAGTAAGGTTATAAGAAAACAACTGCTATCGTGCAAACAAGGTTACTTTACTGACAAAGTTAAGAAAGTAAGTATGCTAGATTTATTCAAGATGTTCAAAGTTTCATAATTTCTTATAATAATAATATGCTTTATTTATTCTGGAACAAGTCCCTTTAGAATAATACAATTGTTGGCTTTAGAGCCTCAAAGTTTTGTAAAAAGAATAAAATAAACAAATAGAAATATTAAAAACCGATATATTAACTTTAAACATAAATAAATTAAAAAGAAAATATTTGTAAAAATTTATATAATAAATTATATACATATTTATGGAAGAAGCTATTTACAATTGTTTGAGAACTAGATGGATAGAAAGTGATTGCATAGGCGGGATTTAAAGGTGGGTAGAGAATTGGAGTGATGTATGTAGGAGGGGATGGAATTTCTTGGGATGAGAATCAGATAATGAAAGATCTATTGTGGATCTGTCTGGCTTTTCTTTGTGGAGTGTTTGCAACTTTTTTTTTTTTTTTTACAAGAGACCCGATGTTAATTGATGGTCTCAATATTTTGAGAAGCTCCTAAACCCAGAAATGCCTGAAGAACTCATTTTAAGCCCACTTAGGTACATCGAATCAGTGCATATAAATACAGATATTATAGAACCTCGAGAGAAGGAAGAGGTTGCGGAAGTTCTTGCATCCGCAAAAAAATTACAAGCCCCAGAAGAGGATGATATTCCTCCAGAGCTGTGGGAGCATGGAGGAGAAGCATTGGTCGTCCAAATGTACCATCTGGTTTTTGACATGTGAATGTCAGAAGAGATGCCATAAGACTGGTCCACTGCATTAATATGCCCAGTTTATAAGAAGTGGGACAAGATGGAATGTGAAAACTACAGAGGCATTGCGTTACTAAGTACAGCATACACATTTTTCTCCATTTTGTTGATGAGCTGGATAGAGAGAGGTCGGGGAATACCGGAGTGGATTCTGAAGGGGTAGATCCACTATAGACCATATTTCAAGCATACGGATCTTGCTGAAGAAATGCTATGAACATAATATTGATAACACCACCTCTTTTAGACAACAAGCAAGTATACGACAGTGTAGACTGAAGCAAGTTGTATCAGGCCATGACAAAGGTGGGTACACCAGAAAACTGATAAGGTGTATGTGACCTTGGAAGGAACACCAGGAAGAGTAAAAATACCAAGTGCAAAGTCCAGTAGCTTCCATATCAACAAAGGATTAAGGAAACGAGACCCTCTATCTCCCATCCTGTTCAACATTGTTTTGGAAATAGTGATAAGGGCCATTAGAACAAATTCTGGGGTCACCATCTATAATCGACTGACAGAGCATCTTACTTTTATAGATGAAGTTATCATTACTGTTTGCACATGTTCATCTTTAATAGGAGTTTTCGATGAATGTGAACAGGCTTCAAAAATGGTAGAACTCAATATTAATGAAGCCAAAAAATGAAAATTTGTATAAAATTAAAATTGCTTATTTTAAGGTTTGTGTATGGCTGGGATGATACAGCAATCTTTTTCATCAGAATCAGCTAACTGAAAGTTCCTCTTAGTTAATGATATACTTTTACAATTTTCTCAAAAATAGCTCTAATGATTTTGATTAAATTCATTCAGTCAATGTCTTATTAAGTAGTTTTTAGTTTGAGGTAGGTTTTATCCTCACTGATACAGCCTGACAGGGCTTAAATGGCAAATTTTTAAAAGATTTTCCTCTAAAGTATTTCCTATTTTGTTTATTTTAAATAATTTATCACTTCACATCATAACCTGATATAAAAAATGGTTAAGTATATACTATGGAAGAATTTGACAATTAACTAAACGTGAAATAAGGGATCATAATGGAGGAGCGAAAAAACACTAGCTAGTGATAATATAACATGTGCTAATTTAGTAAATGTATGAGGAAGGTCATTAAGAGGTTGTTAATTTAGGTTTACTGATTTTGTGTTAATTGAAATGTAATGTAAGAAAATAATTTATTAGAAATTCAGACAATTAAGCTCAACAAGTGAAACTTAAGTTATTGTGAGTGGAGCTGTTAACATGCCTTTGCTAATACCACTTAAGCAGGTTATCACCTGTAGGCTCTCTGGAGTAGTTCATTCAAAACTCATGCTAACTGTTTGGCACGATAGCCTGTTAAGCATTTATTGCAAGTTGGATGAATACCCCTAATATTTTTATTAACCATTATTAATGTAGAATAAATAAATATATATTAGCTGTGATTTTTCAAGTTCTATATTTAGCCTCCGTGTGATTTCTCAACAATTAGTAGTGTTGTGTGTGAGTATCTACTAAATACTTTACTAGAGTATCATGGATTGGTTGTGTTGTAAATTGTACATAGAATATTTGATGCACTATAAGCTCTTGTAGTTCTTTCTCCAGTTCACTTCCTTCATATTAGAACTAATCCACTAGTACACCATTTATTCCAGGGGATTTCCAATTCTTCAGTTTTTTCACTACTTCTTCAATATCTTCTGCATCTGCGGGAATGTGCTCATTGTCAAAGTCCATTCTGGTCATTTTTGGTATGACCTATACAGCATCTTTTCCAGTTTCTATATTCAAAAGATTACAAAAGTAAATCTCCCATTTGTTTGTTCTGCACTTCATCCGGCAGGATCTTTATATTTCTATTTTCATTCCTTATACCCATACCTAGATTAGTCTCTTTCCTTCAAATGCTTTGAACTTTCTGGTTTCATTTTTTCCTCTTGTATCTCTCGCTCTCTCTCTCTCTCTCTCTCTCTCTCTCTCTCTCTCATCTCTCTCTCTCTCTCTCTCTCTCTCTCTCTCTCTCTCTCTCTCTCTCTCTCTCTCTCTCTCTCTCTCTCTCTCTCTCTCTCTCTCTCTCTCTCTCTCTCTCTCTCTCTCTCTCTCTCTCTCTCTCTCTCTCTCTCTCTCTCTCTCTCTCTCTCTCTCTCTCTCTCTCTCTCTCTCTCTCTCTCTCGCTCTCTCTCTCTAGTTACTTTTTTTTTTTAACTACCAGTTTCTTTAACCATTTCCTGACATTCGAGTATTCTCTAAAATATTCCACATATTTCTGGCTAACCATCTGTATCTTTTTCATTCCTATCATTTATTGTCAACGGTAGCGAATATAGGATTTGATTTGGGGGAGATTGATTTTTTTTTTAAATTACGTTAATTAACTCTGGCAGGGAAGAAAAATAAAATAAAACAATTTTTACAAGAACAATAATGCTTTTAGAGATAAATTGCATACATTTTTTTCTTCATACCTCCTTATATTTAGTAGCTGTATATGTGTTTTAATTTAAAAAGAGAATATAGTGTAGTTATTTGAGTATTTACCTTGGATAATTCACATATACAAATATGGACCAATGAGAAAATATATTTTTTCCATTTTTGGGAATCCTCTGCTGTAGTCATTGCCAGAGCAAACTCTTGATCAAACCAGGTATTTCTGGAAGGTCTATCTGCCAGCCCACGTGTCATCTCTGCAGCAACTTTTAATATGCCCTTTATCTCAGATCATCAGATTTGTGTCAAAAAGCTAATATCTAGAAAAGCATTAATTTTATTAATTGGAGAACTAATTAATTATTATGATATCTAGGTATTAAACAGTTTCCACGCCTACAACAATGTATGGTCATAGTTTTTCCGCCATAGGATATTTTGCAGCCCAATAAAGTTTTGCCTATTTTTGACCTATTAGTCTCTTCAACAGAGAAGTTCTCTCTTATATCTTTGAGGCAAAGACTATTATAAAGATAGTTTGATGTCATGGTTGAAGATGTGCTGCATAATTAGCATCAGGGATCCTGTGGAGTTGGGCATTCAAATAGATGTGGCCAATAATTGACTGGGAAAGCGCAACCAACTTATGCCAGTGGAAGTTAAGTGGAACATAGCTATTTGGATTAAGACCTCTCTTCTTTGCACATTTATTAAACTTGCTGCATTTTAACATTCAGATATGTTCTTTTAGAAATAAACAATTTAGTTGGTGAGTAAGGCATGGCCATCTTGAAGCCTTCTTTGGCTAAGTTATTGTCCTGACATTTGAACTTGTACACGAACTTGTTTAATAAAATAAAAACTGCAGTGATATTTATATGCCAAGCTATGTTTTGTATGAATGCCAGTGGTCAGTGTGTCAGTTACGTAGTTCTTCATATGTGCTACCATTGTCATCACAAGTGATTATGCTGTGGAATTCTTTGATGAATAAAGCACAGTAAACCTCACAACCGATCATGCTTTAAAAATAAATTAAAACTTGCTTTTTGTCAATTTTTATTTTGAAAATCAAGAACAAAAATGTCATGAAACAGATATGAAAACATGAAGCTTTTTAACAACTGAATTTGAAAAGGGGTAAAATTAAAGCAGGTTTCTTATACACTTATAAAAAGTGTAAATGTCAGCATTGTTACTCAGTTTGAGAAGGGTGGATATAAAACTCTCATATGTTTATGGGGCATAAAATGTGTAGCTGTGCTTTAATTGATTAAGTATTTATTTGAACATCTCTCAGCCCCTTGCCACTGAATTTATTAATGTTAACATTTTAATAAACATTAAGGTTTTAAATGATCTTGTATCTTATAATGAAAGCATATATTTATATTTTGCTAAAATTGTATTGTTCTTTTAATTTTCAGGTTACAGCAGGCAGCTTTGGATAGTGTAATGTCTAATAACCCAAACAAAAATGCAGATGTAAATAATAAAGTAGCTGGGTCGCCAGCTCCTTCTACACCAGACATTACCCGTAATTATCCTCCTGATTTGAATTCTGGAGAAACAACACCAGATCCCTCTAATAATCAGTCTCAAAGGAAAATTGATGTGCCATTTTGCAATAGTCCTCAAACTAATGAGCGTTGTCACATAAATATGCAAACTGCTTTTATGCAAAAGTGTCCTAATTTTGTAGATAATACTGGACCTAAATGTGCAAATTCTTCAGAAAAAGAAATGTCCGCTGGTAATTTTCAGTGTATTGGACCTGATAATGTTCCATTAAATCCTAACCGGATCATTGCAACAACTGCAAGTAAAACATCTCATTTTGACCCAATTAGTTCTCTTGCCCAAATGAGTCAACAATTAACTAATAATGTTCCAAACTCTCCTGTTAATCAGCAATCAATGATGCAAAATATGCACCAAAATATGCCACCTTTCAGTTCACCTAATTCAAATCAACATTTATTAATGAGTGATATTCATCATATACCTAATGCTGCTCCTGATCACAGAATGCAAAATCAAATGCAGCCTCATTTTAATACTAATAGGCCCCAATGTAATAATACAGTATCTCCTGGTATGTCTGTTTCTCCAAAAATGATGCAAGGATATGTCCCTCAGCGTCCTATACCTCGTGGCATTGGCTATAATGGAGCTAGTATTCAGGTTAAACCTAATGCTCCCAATACTATACAGTACCTTCCATCAAGGCCACAGACGTCCTCTGTTCCTAGGGGACCTCCGAGCCTTGAATTTTTACAAAGGTTTTCTAATCCTCTTTCCAACTTAGATTCCAAATTGCCTTCACATAATTTGCAATATTATCCCAATAGTTATCCCCAAAATAATATGAATGATATGGGTATGTGTTCACCACATGGGGGTATAAGGGGCCCTATTCGTACTCCAAACCCAGGAATGATGAGATTACAATCCCCCCAGATGGGTTTTAACAATGCTGAAAATTTTCAAAATTCCAACTGTCAGTTATTTGGAGCGTCACCAAAGGGTTCCACATTAGGTTTAGCACCGGATGCTAGTCAGCCTTTGCCACCATCTATGGGTCAAAACAATAATTTCAAAAACTCTACTTTCATTGGTCCTACCACTGCTGATCCTAATTATGCACAGCAATTTCATAATTTTCAGCAGCAGCTTTATGCTACGAATACAAGGGGACAGTTAACTTCACAAAATATGGGAGCAAATCAACATTATTTCATTCCTAAATAACATTTGCAATGTTTATTTTGTCAAGACTTATTGTGATTTAATCTTAAGAAAATTGTATATTTTTATTATTATATTGCGCTGCAACTTATCGCGGATCTTGGTATCCTCATATGTGTATCATATAAAGTATTTAAGCAACGAATGTTAGTGTTGTTAGCATCAAATCTTCTGGTTTCCAAGCCATATTATTGTTTGTTGTTTATATTGCCATGACAAGTTTTTCTATCTATATTGTTTGTTTTTTATTTATTTATTTTTAATGTTAAATGTAGATTGATACTTAAATCTATTTTAAGTTTTATTTGTTAATTACTACTATTTTCATGGTACATGATATTATGTTTGTTTAATGTTTATGTCTTATTTTGTTGTTTGACTTTGTCATTAGTGTAATGATTATAGTTGGGAATTAAAATGAAGAAATTTTATTATGTCAAGAGCATTCTTGATTTGTTTTTTTGCTAATTTAGTGTAAGGGATACAGTTACTATGGCATTGTTCTTGAATGTTGAACTAAATGAAGGTAATAATGTGATTGGTTTATTATTTTTGTTTATTGATTGAAGATATTTATTAATATCTACATTTTTTCTCTTGATTATTATTGTTTTTGTTGTTTTAATTAAATGTCTGTTTAATAATGTTTGAGCTTAAGTATTCATGATGTTTTGTGTTATATTTAATTTTTAGTCTTAAAACACTAATGGCTAATTAGAATTAATTAAAACTGGGTTTTGATTTATATTAATTTATTTTTTGCAAGAGTGAAATTAATTAAGTAATATAGCGATATTTCATGGTTTAAGACTTATTAACTGAAAAACATAAAACTGTTTAAGGAATCAGTCGAATTATTTTTAAATGCTCTTCTAATAGTTCAATGTTCAAATTGAAGATAATTAAGCAGTAGAATTCTGATTTCCTAAGTAAACAATTGTGGTTCTGTCCACAAAAAATAAGTGAGCTTTCACACGGTGGGAACTGTTCTTTAGCTGATGCTTTAAGTCCACACAATCCTTATGGAAAAAGAACTATAAATAAGGGTTAAATCAGAGGGTCTTAACCGCACTATCTCTTAAATTTTTGTTTTCTGTTTAGTTTGTCTATCACTAGATATGGTTGTTCAGTGTATAAACTGATTTCATGGATGAGTCATGTGAAAAAAAATGATAACGTAGCTTGCACTAGCAACTTTAAATTTCTGAGGAGCAGGATTTTTTTTTTTTTTTTTTTACTACTTTACTTTCTCCACTTCTCAGTTTATGAATCATCATTTGCTTTAAAAATTCTCTGTTTTGCAAATGAACATGTTTTAATTTATTTTTAAAATCAACAGTAGTGAAATGTTTCACGATTTTAAAAAATACTTAGGATTAATCTAACTCCTTCCTCCAGGCAGACCAATATCACACTATATTAAAATTGTAATTGATTTTCATAAAAAAAAAATAAAAAAAAAAACTCTTAACCTAAATTAACAACTAATTCCGCACTGTGTCAAAATCAGAATTTATTTTCTTCAAAGTTGGTGTTTGTGAAATTAATGCATTAATATTAGATACATGTTCTTAATTATGTTAAATTTGAAACAATTTAGTTCTGATAAAAATTTTAATAAACATTTTTTAAAAAAAATGTATTTTAAAATTTTATGGGAAACATGTGGGGTGCTTGGAAGCCTATCAAGTTGGGAGCTGCCTGTGCTAAAATATATTGTTTCAAATCCTGGTTCTCAAAATTTTCTTTGGGTAAAAGATTAGTGGGCTGTATCAAACTGGGGATCTTGAGTTGATTTGATTGACTTGTCTTATATGAGATCCTGGACAGGCCATGGCTTGGTGCTAAAATAAATCATGATTTAAATCGGGTGGTGGAGCACCATATTGACCATACTGTTTGCCAAAAAAAAATTTTACATAACATGTCTTACCTATAAATGATAAAATGTTAATTAAATTATTCAAAACAGCCACCTCTGGCCCTTACTTAGTCAAGTTTGTAATCTCCAAGTACAAACTTCTACTTATGGAAAATTGTATTCTGCTTTCACTAGGATATATTTTAGGCTCTCCAAACTAGTGTGTCCCCTGTGGTGACCAATGAACTCCCGATGTGATGAAATTGGTGAGTACATTGGTCAAAAATAGACTCCCACTGGGCCAATCTGAAGTCTTGATGAAATCCGACTTTCATTGAGTTGATTGATTCTGATGTTGAGGAGCTTTTAACAATGATTTTAACTTCTTTTTTTTTTTTTTACCATTACAGTGTATGGCGCCCAAACCATCACTGAGCTTGCATGGTGCTCTTCTCTTATTCAACTGAAATGAATTTTGAATTTTATTTTAGGAATTAATATCCTTTTGAAAGCAGTTGACAATTTTAAAAAATAATTGCTTTGCTGCAATAGGCTCTGAGTCCTGCAACCAAAAGGCCTGGTTACAGGCAAGAAGCATTTTTAATAATTTATTTTTAATTTAATCATTAATATGTAAGACATGTCCAATAAGTATATTTCCATATCAAAATTCAAACTATTTGATTTTTACTGTATAAAACTTAAAGGCAAGACTACATATATATATACACACATTTTTAAAAATCAAAACTCAATTTACTATATATTATTTTACAGTGTTTTATTTATTAGCTTTGTTATAAATATTTATTTTTATGACTAACAACATTTGCTTTTAGTTCAGTACAATAACCTTTATTTGAAAAAAAATTAATGACAAGTTGAATTTTAGAATAATTCAAATAACACACTGTAATAGTTTTAGAGTTTATCCTTTCAGTATTATTCAATTCCCAACTATAGATTTTAAAATAGTTGTTATTCATATTTTTTATACAAATATTTCTATTCTGTAATGTATTATATTGTAATTAACTTATTTTTAATTGTTGTTTTTTTTTCTGTTCTGTCATGATATACCTATGTATGCTATATAACATGTATATATATACATACACACACGCATATATATTTGTATATTTAAACAATGTTTATGATTTATGTTGCTCAAAATGTATAAATTTTTTAACATGTGTACATAACAAATTAAATTTTTTATAAACAGTTGAATTATTATTTCTTTATTTGTATCCTTTACTTGTATGCTTTTAGATATTATGCTCCTCCTTTCTCCTTAAAAAAAATTAATATTACTAAACTTTTATCAATCTTGATTTTTAAAAAATCATTTAAATTGCTGCATTTTATTAAATCAGATCTGAGATGGGTAAATGCCAAAGTGAGTATTGTGTCCCTAGTATTTTGACAATACTTGTGCAAATATGTGTATTCGTGTAACTATTGACCTCCCGATTCTGATTACTGTAATCAGATATTCAACTTGCCCGAATCTCAGTATTTTACTCAAATGTGAACTGGCTAACTTTGAGTATTTTACTTAAATAGCTGACCTGCGCCACCTGGAGTACTTTACTCACGTCCTATTATAAATTGTAGTGTTAAGTACCTATTGTTAAATATATCTTTTTTTTTTTTTTATTTTGAGAAATAATACATTTTGCCACATTTAAGGGCACTGAGTACTAAAGCTGAGGCCCATTCATACTATATATACAATGCAATAAAATAAAAATAAAAAATAAAAATATATATCTATATAACAAAGGTAAAAACTATAAAACTAAAGAAATGTAACTTGAAATCAAATTTTAAAAAATAAATATAAAAAAATACTTAATATATAAAAAAGAAAAGCATTCATACTTAATTTACATTATTTACGATCAGCCAACGGAGCTCCGATTCCAGCCCTTTCCTCAACGTGTGAAGGGCAAAGCGAGACTCTAAGAGATCCCAGTGCTTCTCTCTCAGCCGCGTCACCGGCAGGAGTCCAGTGGAAACTGAGAGAGGGCACTAAAGCAACAGACGCTCATGACGTGAGTGGAGAGGCTGGCCATTGCCAGAACTCCAGTGACAGTCTTTACAAAAGGTCTCGAGGCCACTGCCGTTTCAACCCTCGAGGAGGGTTGTAGGGGTGACTGGAGCTGGATAAGGATTGTGCTAAGGAGTTAGGATGGTGGATTAGGTTCAGATGAAAATTTGAGAATCGAGATGGAATAACGTCAAGGACATAAGGGATGTAAAGGTCATGATGTAGGGTTTTGTTTGTAACATAATGAGGAGCATTGACTATTATACGGAGGACTTTAGACTGAAAGGATTGGATGCGTTTGATGTTCGAAAATTTAGTTGTCCCCCACAGTTCAAGTCCGTAGGTCCAGATGGGTTTAAGTATGGTCTTGTATATTAATAGTTTGTTTTCTATTGAGAGATTGGATTTTCTGTTAAGTAGTCTGTATAGCTGGCCAAATCGTCGGTTAAGTTCTTGTCTTTTAAGTCTGGTATGTGGGTTCCAAGTTAGTCTCTTGTCTAAAAGGAATCCAAGATACCGAACTGTGTCTGAGATGGGGAGAGGTACAGAGTTGAAAAGGATATGTGGACAGGATCTGCGTCGGAGGGTAAAGGTGACATGCTTGCATTTGGATTCATTTATCTTAATGCGCCAATTGTTGCACCATTGCTCAATTAGGGAGATGTGTCTTTGTCGGTTTAAGGATGCTGTTTCAGGATCTGAGTGGGATGACAGAATGGCGGTATCGTCAGCGAAGGTTGCTAGAAGGGTATCGGGGTTGGTTGGAATTTCAGTGGTGAAGAGGATGAAGAGAACTGGGCCCAAGACACTGCCTTGTGGAACACCAGCTTCAATTGGATAATAGTTGGAGAATTCAGTGCCGCAGCGGACTTGAAAGGAACGATTTGAGAGGTAGGATTTGAGGACTAGGTACAAAGATTGGGGTAAGTGAGTTTTGAGCTTGAAAAGCAAGCCATCATGCCACACCCGGTCGAAAGCTTGCGCTACATCCTGTTAAATATATAAATTATATTAATAGATGTGCCAATGTTCTAATTATATAAATATTGTTAAATATGAACTTTTAATTGTTTAACTCATTGCTAATAGAAAATTTCGTATTTCTTTTTTAAATAATATCAAAATTATGATCCCATAATACATATACATCTATTTAAAAATTTTCATATACTGTTTTATATGTTTTTAAAGACTTGATTTTTTGAAAAAATAATCTTCATTTTAATTTTTATTACTCCACTGCGTTTTGACTTATTCAAGTTTTTCGAATTTATTTCATATGAGGGTCTACTTATATGTTTTCGGAGCCCTAGTTTTAAATGATGATGATCCATTTTGAGATTACGCCGATGCGTTTTGACATACTTGAGTGTTTCATATTTCTTTCATATCAGGGTCTATTTATGTTTCTTCGAAGCCGTAGATTCTGAAAATAAACTCCATTTTGAGATTACGCCACTGCGTTTTGACTTATTTAAGTTTTTCGGATTTCTTTCACATGAGGGACTTTTTATGTTTTCGGAGTCGTAGTTTTTGAAAATCAATTCCATTTTGAAATTACGCCACTGCGCTTTGAATTATTTGAATTTTCGTTCGTCACAGTTTAGGTAATATATAACTGCTAACAAAGTCCTCCTGGACTATTGTTTTTCACAATTCCTCACGGGGCATATGGTTTTTCTAGCTAAACTACATAGCTTTGGCCTCGACATAGATCCTTAATGCCCCATATGTGGAGTTCTGGAGACGGCCTAGCACGTGGTCACGACCTGCACTGCTTTCGAGGGAATAAGAGCAACAATGATGAGAACCGTGGGAAACCGTCCTAACAGAGGATGATTTTCCTCGGTTGGTAAGTAAGGAGAACTTCAAGAAATTTATTTATGGCTGGAAGGAGGCAGTGGGTCCGCCTACCTCAACATTGGAACACAGAGAAGAGGACCAGCATCAAGAAGACCACCGGAAGACGGTCAACCTTGATCAGAAGTCATCAAAGATAAAAACTTGTAAACTGTTTCACTTTCAGTAGTGTGTTGTTATGCAGTCATACATAACATCCCACTTTTGCAAAGGCCTGTACAGCCCACTAGGCAAGGGAGGGTGGTAAATAAATAAAATAAAAAAATAACTTACATAATATGTACATTAGCATTCACTCTGAGGCCCAATTGTCATATCTTTAAAACCACGCTTTTACGAAAGTGGTATTTTCTAAATCTTTATGAAAGAGTAGTTGTGACTAAATATAGTTAGACATTTTTTTCACAAATAAAAATACAATAAAACTTTGCATATATTAAAATGAAATGCGTTTAAATATAAATAAAGTGCTTGTAGTAAACAGTATAGACCTGTAATATTTTTCTTTGAAAGCCTAGCTTTTCGATTCTTCATAATACCCATAATTGAGATTATTAAATTCATCACTACTTTTATTATATCAGAAATTTCGGACTTTCACAGGCTTAAGAGCTACACAAACTCCAAACACGTCATTTTAGCCTAGATCGGAGCTTACTAAGCATCAGTGAATCAGAAACTGAAAGGTGCGCTTGATCGGTAGAAAGAACGCATAGGAAGTACTTTTCCAGTCTTAAGTCACGGATGGATGCAAGATGAATCTTCCCGGATAACTATGTATTTCTTCAAGATATGTGGCGAGAGAGAATAATATTCTTTCCCTATGACCCAGCTGCAACGTTCCGGAACTACGGAACCGACAGACATATATTCGAATGCAATGCCTGTGAGTAACTAACTACCCGTGTGTCCAAGAAATTTTTTTATGTTTGAAAGAACTTTGTAAGTCCAACACACTTCTATATGGATAGAAGAGAGGGACGTTAGAAAATCTGCAACTGCTCAGAGAAGGCGCTGAAGATGAAACCAGTAAGCCAAGATATGTAAAAGGAAGAATGAAAAAAAGAGAATGTTGAGAGCTTGTACACAGCCCTGTTCACAAGACTGCAACACAATTTATATCACCCTTTTATTGTCCCCACAATTATAAAAACATAAAACATAAATCCAATAAAAATATAAAGTAAAAATACAGATCTTTTCTGCCAGCAGTAGCATACGCTTTCACCATGCTTACTACACCATTGCTTTCACAACCCGTATTGCCTATACAGCAAGACAGCAAAAGAAAAAAATGTGTTGGAGAAAGATTCTTTACATTATCTACTATCTAAAGTATCCATGGGCTACTTTTGATGCCTAAATTCGCAATTGCTTGCTTAGGTTCGTAATTATTGTGCTCAATAATCCGAACCTAATAATAATAAAATATTCAAGGGATTGTGATTTTGCGGCGGTCAGAACAGTAAAAATTATGTTTGTTTCGATCAAACTACGTTGATACCTGGCGTTTAATATAGCTAACATAATCATCATCATCAAAGTGGGAGCTAAGACTTACGAGATATGGAGAGTCTAATCCAGACCACCGAGAGCTATCCCAGTCCACCGAGTCTGTGCCTCCTCCAACCATCCGCCAGTTCATTCGGTCTGCTGCAGCAGATCTTCAGTTTGAGGTGCCAAGAAGGAATCTGAGCTGACATAATCGCCACGGTTTAATGAGTTTGATTGGGAGGTATGGAGATTGGTGGATATCTATCACGTTCTCAAAGATTTGACTTCCATCTACAGTGTGATCACATCATTATTATGCCCCGCCACCAAATGGCCGACGGCTTTCTCCTTAACTACTATTTTCTTTTCAATTAAAACACATCATTGTAGTGATAAAATTCCAATTTCATAAGTTCCAATATATTGGTATTGATTTTAAATTTTAGTAACTCTTTGAATAAAAATTTTTACGACAATTTTCGCATTTTAAAGTACGTTTTTGAACCCAGAAAATTTAAATTTTAGGTCGTTCCTCCGAACTCACCTTCCTACTAGACCTCTGATCCTAACCGTAATCCCGATATCCTTGATCTTTAGTGGTTTAGGTCCCCTCAACTATTCCATTGCACACCTTGATGAACATTCCTCAGACCAAAGTCCATTAATATTCCAAGTATCACTAGCTCCTATTCCTAAACCGTCTCCACCGTCCTTCATCAGAGGTCCAGCCAACTGGAAACTCCCTCTCCGCTCACGACAATTCCCTCTGGAATATCAACAAAAAATCCTAAAATCCCATAATATTTCCCGTCCCCTCCGTCTAGATGATGGCTCCTGGGCGGCGTCTGATGAAGGCAAAGCTGAAGAATTCGCCAAACATCTCTCCTGTACATCCAATCCTCAACCTGAATCTCATCCAACCCACACTGCAAAAGTAGAAGAATTCCTCTCTTCACCAATTCCATTCTCTTTACCTCCAAAAGCAGTTCATCCTTTTGATGTCAAGTATCATTTACAAAAACTAGAACCCCCGTAAATTTCCTGGATATGGCCTTCTAATCCCACAGATTCTTCATCAACTACCACCCAAAGCTATCATGTTCCTCACATATACATACAACTGTATCCTAAGAACTACCCATTTTCCACTCTTATAGGAACATTCCCCAATCGTCCTTTTCCTGAAACCAGGAATCCTAGACCAATTAGCTTACTCCCAATTCTTTCAAAAAATTTTGAAAAGTATCATACACATAATAGAATCCCGAAATCTTCTTACCCATCAATTCGAATTTCGTTTCCAACATTCCATTGTCCAACAAGGATTCCGAGTTGTTGACCACACATCCTCAGCCCTAGAAAGCAAAGAATATTGCTCAGGAGCATTCTCGGACATCGCACAAGCTTTCGACCGCGTATGGCACACTGGACTGCTCTTAAGATTAAAACCTGTCTGCCCCAGTCCTTATATCTAATACTCCGATACTACCTCTCTGACAGCTCCTTTCAAGTTTGCTTTAGTGCAGAATCCTCCATCTGTCATTCAATCGAGGCGGGAGCTACTCAAGGCAGTCTCTTGGGTCCCGTCCTCTACATTCTGTTTGCCGCTGATATTCCTAATCATCCCGAAACCCTCCTGGCAACATTCGCTGATGACACAGCCATCCTATCTTCCAATCCAGATACTGAAATAGCATCGTTGAACCTACAAAGTCTCCTCTCTCTTATTGAACACTAGTGTAATAAGTGGCGCATCCAAGTAAATGAATCCAAATCCAAACATATCACTTCGGCGCGATCCCTGTCTACTTCAACTCTATGGAGTTGTAGTGTGCCACTTCCTCTCTCCGACACAACCCGGTATCTTGGCTTTATTCTAGATAAAAGACTAACATAGAAACCATATACCGGACTTAAAGACTACAACTTAAAAGACGATACGGACAGACTATTGAACATAGACTATTAAATAAAAAATCTCAAATTTCATTCGTCAACAAACTACTAATCTACAAAACAATCCTGGAACCTATCTGGACCTACGGATTAGAACTGTGGGGGACAGCAAAACTTTCTGACAACAAACGCATTCAATCCTTTTAGCCTAAAGTCCTCAGAACAATAGTAGATTCTGCCTTTTTAAGTAACCAATAAAACCCTCCATAATGACCTTCATATGTTATTTGTTCTTTGGGCAGTGGCCCCGGGACCTTTTGTAAATATTTTAATATTGGAATTCTGGTTAGGTTCTCCGCTCAGGTCCTGCGTCTGTTGCTATAGTGCCCTCCATTGGTTTCCAATATCATTGATGCGGCTGGGAGAGAAGCACTGCGATCTCCTGTAGTCCTGCCTTGGCTTCCACATTTGGGAACATAGCATGACTCAGAATCCTCTGGGCGAATGTAAATATTGTTAATAGGTGTGAATGTGTTTTATTTATTTTAATTTCATTTAGCTTCTATCTATTATTTCATTTTTTGTACATATGCAGATTAATTTACTTATTTTATTTTTCAATATTTCTTTTTCTTTATTATCTCTATCTTAGTTATTATTTGACAGAAGATCATATAGAGGTTCACAAGGCAAAACCAGGAGACCTGCAGTATGAAATGAAGAGTAGCTAAGAAAGTATGTAGAGAGGAAAAGAGAAAAATGATTTGTAAAAGGCTTGAAAATATAGAAATGTTGAACAATGTGCATAAAACCAGGACATTTTATAAGGACATTAATTGGTTCAGGAAATAGTATCAGCTGAAGCTGAATAATTGTAAAAGTAAAACGGGAGAGGCTTTGGATGGAAAAGGAGAGGTGATGAACAAGTGGACCAAACACTTCTCGGAGTTGATCAACATTTGTCTGGAGATGGAGGATGTTGAGAATGAAGAAGAATGTCAGGTGTGGCAGCCACAACCGCTAGTTGATGAACCTGAGAGAGAGGATGTCGAATTTTCCATCATGGACTTGGATTGGATTAATATGTCCTGTTCTTAAAAAAGGGAGCAAGGATCAGTGCACAAATTTGGTAGTCCTGTATAAACTCCTTTCTAGTTTAATAATGAAAAGGCTGCGAAAATATGCTGAGGAAATTTTAGATTATTACGAGTGTGGTTTTAGAGCTGGCCGCGGTACTACAGATCAAATTTTTGTTATGAGAAAAATGATGAAAAAATGCTACGAATATGATATTGCTGTGAAAGATGCAGCTAAAAAAGCACCATCGTGGCTACGCTGATGACCTGGTGATAGCTGCGGGAAGTGAAAAGGCACTTGAGATCATATACAAAAATGGGAACAAAGTAGTGGTCAATGAAAACAAAATTAAATACCTCAAACTGTCCTCGGCAGCAAATAGAAGATCCTGCAGTGAAATCAAAATAAAAAATTTTAAGTTCGAAAATGTACCCACATTCGTATATATCGGTTCTGCCCTAAATAATGAAAATGTAATCAGCAGAGAAATAGACAACAGAATAATGGCTGGTAATAGAGCTTACTATGAAAACCTAAAACTTCTCAAGTCTCCATTGTTGCCAAAAGCCACGAAATTAAAGCTGTATAAAACGCTTGTTAGACCAGTAGTCACCTTTGGAGCGGGAACCTGGTGCCTATCGCAAGAGGATTCCCATACTAAAAGTATTCGAAAGGAAAATAATAAGAAGGATTTGTTGAGAAGGAGTTGATCGGGGGGTGCGGTCAAATTAATACTAAATTAAATAAGTAGAATTATTTAATTTTTGCCGACGTTTCGACCCACTTTGTAGGTCTTCATCAGGGCTACAAAAGATACAAAACATAGTGAAAATATATGAATATAGGTAGATATAAAATAAGAATAAGTTGTCTGTTACAGAACTAAAAGATGATATCAGAGATGTAGTGGGTGACAATGTAGTTAAAATATGTAGTTATTAATTAAAATATGAAACGTCGGCAAAAATTAAATAATTCTACTTATTTAATTTAGTATTAATTTGACCGCACCCCCCGATCAACTCCTTCTCATATTATATCAACGGTCAACCATCTCTACATAAGAAGGATTTTTTGTTACCACAAGTATTTTTTTTTTTTTTTGTTCTTTTTTTGCTTTAAGACTTGTAAAAGCAAGTCCTCTTTTGCTACAAGTGTTAATGGTGAGTGGAAAATCAAAAGTAACAATGAAATCGAGGCTATATTAGAGAATCGAAATATTAATAACTATATCAAGGTAAGTAGGCTGAGATGGGCAGGACATGTGGCCTGGAGAAGTGGGGAGAGATGCGAGGAAGTTAAGAGTTTGCAATTAGAAGAGAGTAGCACAGGACAGATAGAAGTGGAGAAAAATAACTCAGGAGACCAATGGTCATGCTGGCCTGCAGCACCGGGGATTTAGTTATTTATTATTTGTACATTTTGTATAAATGATTAATGTAGCCATAATATTAATGATCTTCAATGTGGCATAATGTATTAATACTCAATTAATAAAAAATAAAATAAAAAAAATATTAGGAGGATAACACCATTTCTCCTCCCTGCAACTCTTGGTGACGTCCTTGCCTGTGAGAAATCTTTCGAGAAGAGCGGAGAAAATAGAGGCAAAAACTAGAAGGAATAGATCTTCTCAGAACTGGCCGAAAATATAGGAGGAAAAAGAGAAGAAATGTAAGTGTTAAGGTACATTTCACAAACTATGTAAAACACAATTATCTAGCTTAATTAAGAGCGACATTCTTGCTAAACCAAACTATTTATTTTATTTCTCTTGATATTGGTAGAAGATGGAAAATATATTAAAAAAAAAAAAGAAACATATACTAGCATTGTGAAATGACCACTTATACATTTCTATGTCGCACAGTTTGTGAAATATCTAAACGCACCTTAACATATATATGTACCTCATCTCCAAGCCAATTAACCATTTCCATTTCAAATGTAACCCTTTCCAAATCAAATGTAGCCTTTTCCATTTCAAATGTGACTATTTTCAGGTTAGATTTGAATTGAAAAGGGTTACATTTGATTGGGAAAAGTTACACTTGAAATGGAAAATGTTACAATTGGCTTCGAAATGCTATGTATAATTGTTATATTAGAATAATGTGGTTTTAACAGCTTAGCCATTCATAAAAGCATAGGATACTTAATATGCAAATAAGACAGGCGAAGTTATAATGTCTCTAAACTTTTTAAGTTTCCCTTCCGCTCTCTTTGTGTCACGATTATAATAGTTAATCGATATCTTATCAAATTTGAACTTGAACTCGTGTTGGCAAAAACCGGTAATTTAGAAACTATCAATTAAAGTCAAATTTAAATACATCCAAGGTAATTATTATTGTTTGTAAAAGATGTTTATATGTAGCCAACCTACATAGATCTACATACAAAATAAATGAAACTAAGTGAACAATAAACTAATTTATTTTGCGTGTTTTGATCCTTGTTTTTCATTAAGTAAGATTAAATGGATTTTGTGATGGACATTTGTTTGTCATGAATGTCTAAACCGTCAATAACTTTGAATATTATTTGTGGTCCATATTGTGTAGTTTTAACTTTTATTTACTGTTTATTTTTTTGTATTTATTGTAGTTCTTTACTTCCTTGTTGCCATAGGATTTTAGTCTTTTGAATTTCAATAATTTTTATGAAGTTAGTCAATTTTTTTCATATAATTAAGTATTTTAAATAAAAACCTTATTGACTAGCATAGATACTGATATAATTTTATTCTTTCACTCATTGCTATGTCAAACCAGTAAAACATTTTTAATTTATCTTATGGTATTGACCTTTCTTCATTAATTTTTATGTTCTCACTCCTTGTCCATAGGTTTAATTTTAAAAAATAAACACTTGTAATTTTTAATTTAACTGCTATCTGTAAAAATGACATGTGAACTGTTCTCATGTGTTACTCAACACATGATTGCATAAATTGTTGGAAAGTTGAAAGGTCTGACCTCAATTGATAATTCTTGTCACATTAATTATTTACGATTTCTGAATTAATTTTTTCTGATGTCTTTAAATTGCCAGGTATAAGTTAGTACTAAAACTTTGTTTGTACCCTATACTCTTAAATGTTTACATACATTTTTGCAGTTATTGTTGGAGTGTATTAATTATTTGAATTTTAATATTTTCACACATACCTAATGAATTAGGTAACTGTTAGAAAGAAATTTTTAAGTGCAATTCGTTGGAAACATTTCTATATGTCATTTTATACTTAATATACTCCTCTGTAAAGTTAACTTTTGATTAATTAGTATTTCTGATTAAATTTTTTAAATGGTTTTTTGTAAGTACAATTTTTTTTTCTGTGAAAGATAAATAGTTAGTATCTTATCTCAATTAAATCATTTGATAAGGATATATGCATAAAGAGCTACCTTTTATTGCTTATCATATATTATTTAAGTATTGTTATTATTGTATTGTGCTTAGCAGGATTCTTTGATATTTTCTAAATTATTGTCATCATTATCCACCACATCAAAAATTCTTTAAAAATTGCCAAAAGTATTATTTCTATATCTCTTGTTAAGGATTACAGGTTAGAACTTTATAAAATAAAAATATTTATGGTATAGATAGTATTTTATTGTACTGAGTGATTTAAATACAATCACCAAATTTTTTGATTTGTTAAAGTATGTATAGTCAGTAATACAAAATTCCTTTTGACATTGATTTTGATCTTTTAGACCTAGCTAATACTCCTTGTTTCTGTTTATATTATTTACTCTTTTTAAAAATCATTATACTTGTTTAATCTCTAAACTTTTTAAAAATGCTTTTAGATGTAGTGGGAATCAGATCTTAGTCTTTGTGTTTATAATAGTTATGCTATCTATTAGAGAGTTTCCAAGAACAATACAGTCCTGTGTATCTTAGGTTTTATATCAGCTTTATCCTTTGAATTATATATATATATTAAAAGTACATAAGTTAACAGAAGGTGTTAATAAAAAATTTATGTCCAAAAGAGTAACCTATCTATCATGGTAAAAGAAACTATTAAAAATTAATGGTTTTGGTTGATAAGAAAAATATAATCTGCTTAGTTAATAAAAATTTAATTGAGAAAATTGAAATGTTTATTATACTTAATGATTTACCCATTATTTGTAATCTGAGTGGGCAAGTATTTATAATTCTTATCTACGTAAAATTCTTTAGTTTAAAGTTGTAATATTTCCTTCCCACTTTTTGGGAGGCTGTGTGATCAGTCAGTGTTGTGCTTAAGTTATCTGACCTATCCTATGATTGTTGTCAGGTCTCTATTTTAGAGCTGAAGGGACTTAGGTAGAAAGTATTTGTCAAACCAATATCCTCACAATGCTAAAACTCATTAATTATCTGTTAAAAATAATTTAGTTCCTACATTCAAATAGAGATCACTGAAGCATTGGAAGCCAGTTCTATACCCATTACGCACATTACATCACTCCCTGATTTTTTTTTTCTACATCTAAATTGTTTTATTAATTGGTATAAATTATATTTTTTAGTAATAATTTTACTATTGAAAAATTTATCAATGTTCTATCCCCTTTACTTGTTACCTTATTCCCTTAATGTCTTTTTTCCAAATCCATATTATTTCATGGCAATCTCTAGTTAGTGGTCATAAGGTTTACTTTTAATTTTATTTTACACTGAAGGGATTTACCAGTTAATTAATAAAATTGAAATTCTGTATATCTAAAATAGTGTGGTGTATTATATGTAACATGATTTAAAAGTTCAATACAAATATTAAAACTGACTAATACCTTTTCAACTTAATCAGTTCTACTTGTTTTATCATTAAACAATTTTTTTTTAAACAGAGATATAGAGAAAATCAGTTGGATTTATTTATTAATCTTTTTTTTTCAATTCAATATTATTTGTTACATTAATGTTGTTTAATTTCAGGTCGCGTTTTATTTTATATCAAAATGCTTCCCATGCAAACTGTAAGTAGTATTTTATTATTTTAATTTTCCTTATCTGATCTGATTATATTATTATCTTATCTCGGACAATATTAATAGAAATCTGTTGTATTTATAAATTTGGTAATGCAGTGATTGGCTTAAAGTCATGTCTGAACAGTTGGTGTTTAACTTTTTGGTAAATAGCTAATTCATTAATTTTGAGTTTCTTAATTAAACTAAGTAGATTATTTTTATTCTTTAATGGGTATTGTCATGCTTCAAAGATTCATTAATTGGAGAAAAAAAAAGTTTGTGTTCCTTTAATTACTTATTGTTTTAATTTGTATGGCAAGAGGAAAATTATTTATTCCTTTAATTTGTTGTAAATTTCAAGATTTTTTTATTTAAATTTTAAATCTTTGATTTATCAATATACATGACTAGTGTTGTTGATGACCCTAGGGTTTTACGTCTTAAAGCCTAAATAAACAAACAAACATGACTACTGATGTCATTATGTTTAGTCCTTTAATTTTTTTATATATTTTTAATTTAATTGAAACTTATATTTTCTCTTTTAATTTTCCTAAAGTGCTATGCAGTTTTAGTAGTTTGGCTTTGGAGACATCAATTAATGATTGAATCATCTAACTCCAGAATATTTTTAATAACTTGATAATTTTTATATTAAAATTAACCTCAAAATTTTGTTAATCTTCTATAATAATTAATTAATAATAATGTCCAAATTATATTTATTTATTTTTGAAAATAAATAAATTTTGGATCTAAATTAATAGTTACATGTTGATAATAAATTTTTCAAACCATTTTCCATAATGCTCCAATCCAAGAATGGAATGAGATGAAATATTCTAGAAATATAGTAGTATAAATAGTCATAAACTTAAATATCATATATTTTTAATAATATATCATTCTATCACTCTAATATTCAATATTTTGTTAATTCCAAATATTGTTTTTATATTATGACATACTTAAATGTTTAAGAACCTTTCTCGGCATGTCATTGTAAATTAAAATTTAATTTGAAAGTTATAGAAGGTTATAATTAGTATAAAAACATTACTTATGATCCAGAAATAGTATATTTAGGGTGAACTATTTTTTTAATATGAATTTCAAACTTTAGTGCCCTCGAAAGGGTTCACTGAATTTTACGTAATGAAATAAATGTCCTTCAATAAACTTGTGTTGATTTACAAAAATCTATAACTTTCTTTTATAGATATTTATTAAAGTTAATCAACCTTAACTTAACCGCATTGCTACTTAACAACTAGTAATAATGATGACCTCCTGACATGAGTAATAACTAAAATGCAGAGTAGAAGCAACTTGAATATTTCAGGGATGACCGCAAAAGCAACAATCAAACGAAGAACCTTTTGAAGTAAGCAAGGTTAAAATATCACCATTTTGGCTTGGCTGCAACGACCTGTTGTATGGTTCAGAAAAGTTAAGGCCCAGTTTAAATCAAGTGGAGTTACTACTGAAGTCACTAAATTTGATTATTTATTATCTCAATTAGATAGAAAATTCCTAGCAGATATAATTGATATTCGAGATTCAGAAAATGTTGCAAAAATCTATAAAAAAATATTCACTAGCCAAAAAAGACTTTTGAGCTTTTACAAAGAGAGTGAAGAATCAGAAATAAAACTGCTAGCAGCTGGTCTAGAACTCCATGACTTAAAACCATGTCAATTGTTACGAAAAATGACTTCCTTGGCAGGTACCAACATGTCTAAAGTACTTCAGACGTAATGGCTAAAAGAACTCCCTGACTCAATAAAAAATATATTATTAGTTTCGGATGAGAATTTGGAAAAATTAGCGATGATGGTAGATAAATTAGTAGACATGAATCCGTGTTGTGATGTTTTTACTACGCCTACTACTAAAAGTTTTTCCGAAACGTCCCAATATTGCTTTTATCACCACGTTTTTGGGAAAAGGTGCCTACCCGAAATGAGGCAATGGCATCAGGATGAAATGTGAGACTCAATCTACTGCAGACGACCATATCGGTGCCGTAAGTTTCGTTTGTTTTTAATAGATAAAAATTCATGTATGAAATTTTTAATAGACAGTGGAGCAGATGTGTCCATTGTTTCTCCTCAGGCATAAAGTAAAAATAACATTGCAGATTTTAAATTTTATGCAGCAAATGGCATGGAGATTCCCACGTTTGGTGTAAATGTTGTTATTACTTAAATAACCGGTCGGATCCGACTGCTATCTGCCCATGTTTATAAACTTAACACTGATAATTATGATAAGGCAGTGATAATTCCTATCTTTATATTCATGTTTATTGTATTATATTTATATTATTATATCTTTGTATCCATATTTATTGTATTATATTCATATTATTGAAATCGTAAACAAAAACAAATGTAATAATAAAAAAATACTTTTATTTTACAACATATATATTAAATAGACCAAAACATTATACATATATCGTAGAAACATACAACATATATATTAAAATAAATGAAATAATAAAAATAGGCAAAAAATAGACAAAAATAAATAAAATAATACGTCCTTCCAAGTCTCAGTGGTCCAGTCCTCTGCACTTGGCTCCCCAAAACGATGGTTCAATGCATCCATATGGTGATCATGGGAGATTTAATTCACAAACCATTCCTGATAGATACCCAATACTAAGGATTGGGATCAATTTTCAAAAATTGATTTATTTAAGGCCTATTTTCAAATTCCCGTCGCTGAAGCAGACAAGCCTAAAACAGCTGTAACCATATCCTTTGGCATGTTTGAGTTTAAGGTAATGCCCTTAGGCCTTTGAAATGCCCCTAGCACTTTTCTTCAGTGATTTATCAACAAAGTGTTCCATGGCCTGAATTTCCTGTTCTGCAGTATAGGTATGAACCTGAACGACTCCCTAATAGCTTCGGAAGAGGAACATCAATATCACCTCAAACTAGTTTTTAACAGTCTTGAAACATATGGACTACACATTTGTGTTGCAAAGTTGGAATTTGGTGTGCAAAAGCTACAGTTCCTATGCTACCTGATCACATCCAATGATACTAAACCATTACCTGATCAAGTACAAGCTATTTTGAATTTCAAACTCCCTGAAACTATTGCTGGACTTCTCTGATTCCTCAGTATGATTAATTTTTATAGAAGTTATCTATCTGAAGCTTCTAAAAGCCAAGCTATTCTTCATGAATACACAAAAGGAGCTCGAGAAAAAAAAAACAATCTTAAATTTTTTGGACTTCTGAAGCCATTTCCCAATTTGAGAAGTGTAAAACGGACTTATCGGATGCAAAAATGCTCTCCTACCCTATATCTATGCCACATTCAATATTACTTCATGGTAATTGACCATTATGATGATATTTATTGCAAAAAATCAGTAATATTCATTCAGACCAGTTGGAAGTTATTTTCCAGAAGACTGATTCATCACTTTAGGAAAGACAGGAAAATTTGTGTACTGGAGTGGATGGGTTTTATGTTATAACATCCATAACTATTATCTTTTTTTTATATTCATATTTTTATTTTTATGTGGCTCTATAAATGTTCATAATTTTTTCTGTACTATTTTATGTCTTTATCTTAGATGTTCTTATTTGAATTAATCTTTTTTAGTCCATGCCCATGATTGTGGGGGTTGGGATCGCTGTGTCAACAGTCATCATCATAACGTATCTTTTTAAAAAGAAAAGATCATTTAAAAAGACTTTAGTTGATCCTACTGCTAAAGTATCTCTCCACCTTATTGAAAAAAAAGAAATTAGTCATGACACCAAAATTTTTCGATTTGCATTGCCTTCTCCTCAGCATATTCTAGGTAAGGAACTTTAAATAAGTGTGTGTCTGTGCATGTGCGTGTGTAATGTAATTAATTGTTTGTTTGTTTTTATATTAAGATTATTTTAATATACTAATAAATGAATGATTATTGCTCTGATTTTAAGAAATTATATATATTATTTTTGGTACTTTGCCACCTAATATACTGTAGTATAAATCATTATTTCATTGTTTTCTGTATCACTTATTTTTAAATCCTGTCATGTTCACTATAGTTTCATTTGGATTTTTCTATATTTTCAATTTTTAAGTTGATTTACAAGTTTCTGTAAGAAAAATAAAATATTACATTAATATTTTTAAATCCACTAACAACTTATACTTGATTATAAAAATATATATTTTGCTATTTAGAGTTCTGTTAATTTATTTCTGAAATGGATGATGTATAAATTTAGCACTTATTTTAGTTTGTATTATATCTTTCTATAGGATCCATACACATATCTCTTGAATGCATTGAACATTTTAAGATGATCAGATTGTCTTTTAACCTTATCAACCAGTAGTTTCTTCATACAGAGATGGAAATGGTAATCTTCTGGCGGAAAAGGCGATTATTCTTGATAGATAGAGAAGATATTTCAAAGACCTCCTTACAGAAGGGTTGAGAAATAACAATATCGATGAGGATGTTGGAACCACCAGATGATGAGGAAGTAGAGGAGGCAATAAGAAAGCTCCAAAACAATAACCAGGATTTGATGGACTCACAGATGAGCTATACAAATATGGGGGTACCGAGCTAATAAAATTCTTACACGAGCTATTCTTGAGTATCTGGACAGAAGAGAAATTACCTAAGGATTGGAACAAGTCTGTGATATGCCCTATATACAAGAAAGGTGATAAACTGAACTGTTAAAATTATAGAGGCATTTCTCTGCTCTTCAGTGCTTACAAAGTTGTATCAAACATGCTCTTCCAGAGGCTTTTGCCGTTTGCAGAGCGAGAGATCGGCAAATACCAGTGTGGGTTCAGAAGAGGAAAATCGATAACTGATCAGATATTCACCCTTAAAATGCTACTGGAGAAAACTATGGAATATAATGTTAAAACCCATCATCTCTTTATAGATTTTAGAGCTGCTTATGATAGCATCGATAATGTTTATAATGAACATTACTGAAGTTATATAGGGCTATGATTGAAATGAACATACCTCCAAAACTGGTCTGCTTCGTCAGGATGACCATGATTGGTGTAAAGTGTGTCGTCCGAGTATAGGGAGACCTATCACAGAGGTTCATGACAACTGAAGGACTGTAACAAGGGATGCTCTTGCATGCCTCCTATTTAACCTGGCGCTTGAAAAAGCTGTGAGGGACTCTGGCATCCAGACTACTGGTACGCTATAGAATAAGACCTTTTTTTTTTTTTTGCCCCAACATAGAGGGGGTTCACCGCGGCCTCAAAAAGGCCTATTGTGCGTCGTCCTAAACTCAGTTAAAACAGGCCAGATGCCTTCACAAACCTATTGATACTGATGGGATCAATCAGTTCACAGAGCTTGGGTTCAGTGATACGATCACATCCAAAGTGAAAGTATCACAGTCTAGCCAAATTATCACATTTGCAAATAATGTGTTGCCATTTTCCCTTTTTGCTATAAGCTTTTCTCTATTCTAGAGACTAAATAGTGCAACGCTGTCTCAGAAGATTTGCCGGCTTGATAGGCAAATTGGGCGTAGTATAGCGGTCTTTCTACTAGTTCAGTATCCCTAATGTGTCTATCTACAATCTTTTCCAACACCTTCAACAGAAAAGAGGTCAGACATATAGGTCTATATGCTTTGGGATTGTCATAAGACTCTTTTCTAGGTATAGGTATATAACAGACTCTTCCTTCCCTCCACTTATTAGGTATATATGCAAGTGCTAAACTCCCCCTAAATAACTCCAAGAGATAGGGTTTAATTACAGATAGGCTCTTTTGTAGCAGGGCTGGGAAAATCCCATCAATACCCGCTGATTTGAACGATGCAAAAGAATTAATTGCCCATTCAACCCTCCTAGAATTCACGATTCTTTTGTCTTCAACCCACTTATCTTTGCCTCAGATGTGCCTAGTCATAGTGGGATTAACTATATACTCCTCTAGCATTTGACAGCCAGGAAAATGAGCACTCGCCAGAGCCTCTAGAGTATCATCTCCTGAGTAGGTGTTTCCTCCTTCAACCCTGACTCTACCAATGACCAATCCATCTGTTTGTTTTGACAGGATTTTATGGACTCTGGACGTGGATGGCGTTTTATTAATATCGCTACAAAAGTTTCTCCAGGCCCCCCTTTTTGTCTGATGTACAGCCTTATTATATTCAGTTAGGGCATGCTTATAAGTATCCCATCTGCCCGTGTTCTTGGTGGCATTAAAGATTTTTCTAGTCATGGCTCTTAACTTGCCAAGTTCATAGTTCCACCAGGAAACACTATTATTCTTCTTGTAAGACCTCATAATTCCCTCATGTAATGAGGAGTTGAAGCATTCCAAATGCCAGGTATTCCTAATAGTCTTACAGTCTAATAGTCTTGACAGCATTTGACTTCTTCCACTAGCTGTGTACAGTATCTCTCCCAATTTGTACATTTTGGGTTTCTGTACACAGATTCATTCACATTATACCCAGACAAGTCAAATCTGATATAACGGTGATCAGTGCATGATTCTTTATTAGACATTCTTTATTCTTACACACCACCCCCTTATCCTAGAACTCAAACAACGCATGCCTAATGTTATGTGTATTACTTCCGAGCGGATTCTATTAACAAAGGTGGCAACGTTGCCCCTATTCAGAATCTCAATGTCGAATTGAAGCTACTTAGATACTCTATAAGAAACTCACCTCTCCGGTTGTTCTTGGAACTTCCCCAGATCCTGTGGTGAGCATTGGCATCCAGTCCTGCAATCACCTGTTCTTTTTCCATCCTCTCTCCTAAGCTTCTGAGAGCTGCTGTAGGGATGTCTTCTTCAAAGGGGAGATACCCTGCTGCCACTATAATTTTCTCTCCATCCTTAACCTCAGAATGGACCAGTTGAGCTGTTGCCAGGTCTCTGAAACAATGATCCCACAGAGGCATCAGCTCAATTCTATTCTTGAACAGGATACAAGTTCTTGGACATTCAGGCACTACAATAATGCTATACCCAGTCATGTCCAGCCCCCTAATCCTGTTGTCGAACAGGTAAGGTTCTTGAATTAATACAATATCAATATCCTTACCTCTAAAATACTGTTGCAGCACTCCACAGATTGCTACACAGTGATGGAGATTCACCTGCAAGAGCTTAACCATCATTAAAGGGAGCCAGTTGGAGGAGGACCATCCTCGCCAGGGTCCAAGAGGGTACATCCGTCCTGATTCCATGTTTCTCAGGTCCGGAGACCCCCTCCACATCCACTGGAGATAAGCCCTCCCGAGCTGGCTCAGACGCAACAACAATTCCACTAGTGGAAGCAAAAGTTCCCCCTAGTAGTTCCTCTATATGGGAAACTTTTAAAAAAACAGTGCCCACCTTTGCAGTCTGTGCACTAGGTTTGGGTGGCTTCTTCTTCACAAACACCTTAAGTGCAACTTGAGCAATGCTGTTCGTCACCCTCATATTTCTGCCCTCAAGGTGTTTGATACTTGTTTCAGGGATCCTAAGGATTCCGTAGAGTCCGTTAGTCTCCGCCTTGGTTCCCAATATCTGCCAACTATTGATATCTGGGATCCTACCATTTTGAATGCGGAGTCTCCTAATTAGTAGCTCCTCCGCGATTTTCTCACCAGGGAAGTATGCCCCCACCCTGACAGCTTTTCTGAGTTCCTCTATGTTACCAGCACGGAGTTTAATACTCCCGCTGATAGTGAAGCCCTCCACTACACTATAAATCCAGTCTTTGGTGGTTTGGTCATCGCAGAAGATGATACATCCCCCAGATGGTGGGTGAAGCCACTAAATTCAGGGATAACACCACCGAACTCCAGACGATCAACAAATTTTATCACCTGGGCTTTAACTTCCTCACTCTGTTCCCTAGAAAGCTGCACTGATGGATATCCACAAGGGCTAATTGCCACCCTACTGCCCCCAGCCTCCAGAGCATAAGAAATTGAATCAGCTTCCCTGCTTCTGACCCTCTTCGCCACAGGCGTCGAGTTCCCCGGCGAGGATCTGGTACGCTTCGTGACTGGCCCAGGCTCCTCGTTAATCGGTGTGTCTCCTAGTATCTCCAAGGCACTTCCTTCTCCAATAATTCCATTACGTTTGATTGAATTTTGTGGTTCGTTCATTTTGTTCCCACGAGTATGGAGGTGATTAAAAGATCGCTACAGGTACTACCCCCTCTCCCTGCTGAAGGCTAATTGCAATGGGGTACGGGCGCCAGGTGCCCCAAGTGGGTCGAATTGACACAGCTTTATAAAATGCTCATTCGTCTGGTAATGAATGGCTCAGAAGCTTGGACCATGACGCAAGCAGATGAGTGAGCCCTAGCGTTATTTGAGCGGAAGGTGCACTGCAGAATCTATGCTCCTGTGCACAATGAACAGAATTGGAGGATTAGACATAACAGAGAGTTACACAATCTATTCAAGGAGCCGAATGTCATAACCATAAAGCTTGCAAGACTGCGATGGGCAGGGCACATGGTGAGGATGCAAAATGATGAAATGCCCAAAAAAACTATTGAGAGCAATGAGCAAGGCTCTAGGAGAGTAGGAATACAACTACTGCAATGGCAGGATTGTGTGGCAAGGGATGCACGTGCACTACTTTGTGTACGTAACTGGAGAGCAGCTGCGCAAAATAGGGATGCCTAGCTGACACGTCTTGAGGAGGCTAAGACTCATGAGTTGTAGTACCGTGGAAGAAGAAGAAGATTGTCTTTTAAGAAAGTATATTGTGGTTTAAGGTAAAAACAAGTGATATAAAATAGATATTCAAGGCTAAAGGTCAACTTTCAAACTTAAATTACAGAATATATAATTAAAGAAATGTACTGATTGTTCACTATGCAATAATAAAAAAAAAAAATAAAAAAATACAGCAAGTTCCATTCTTATGCTAGCTAGCAGTTAGGTGTAGATAGTAATATAGAATTACAAATGTTAAGCTAGATATAAAAATGGAGTACAAAGACCAAGTATTTGATGTTTGCCAACATCACGGAAATCTATAAACAACACCTGGTAACAGAAAAGAGAACCCTAGTGATTCAAGAACATGGAGAACATACCAGTAAAAACCTATGCTAACAAGAACCTAATTCTCCAGACTTTTGGTGAAGGAGGATAAAAAAAAATTCAATGCACTGGATGGTGTTCTAAATTTCCATCATGCATGGATGCTAGTTTCTGGTGACTCAGTAAAAAATTCATGCAGACATGTAAGGATTGTGTCAAATAATTAAATCAGCTACAATTGCTCAAACAAGCGAAATCCCAAATGTTAAATGAAAATGAAAATGAATGAATGAAAAATTAGGTATGAAAATAAAGGAATATGATTGGGATTTTTTATGGTTGGGAAAAATTCAGAAATTCACATTGAATTTTGTGAGAATTGGGGAAGTTCGAGCGTGGTTAGCTCTTGGATGTGTGACCGCCCGATTTGGATGACTGTCCACCAGGGAAAGCCATGCTCCCCGAGACTCCCACGGTATGTGAGGCCCGTCAGTCTACTGGAGGCAACTCACACCAACCGGGCGTAGGACTGATGAACCTATCCCCATGAACTTCAATCAGGAATTGAGATGTGATCTAGAAGACCACATCTCGCGGTCAAAGATCTTTCAAGGTCTGTAGCGCCAACTGAAAAAAAAAAAAAAAAAATATATATATATATATATATATATATTTTAAACAAAAGTAGAGTTTTTCATTGTCAAAACTATTTAAAGAGGACTATTAGGTAGACAAACACAGCAAAGTTCCGTTTACAAAAAAGTCATAAATTATTAGTGTTTTTTAAATGTTTTTATTACCCTTCAACTGTACTACATTTATCCCACTTTAAGTCCATATTAATTAAATTGAGGTGTATTAGGAAAATTTTTGAGATTTACCTCAAGTTGTGTAGAGAAATGATGTGATTTTCTATTTAGTCCACGTTTAAGTTACTTCCAGATCTTTTCAGTCCTAGGAATTTATAAGTATTTATCAGTGAAAAACTTAATGTTTCTTACTAAAATCTATGTTTAAAGTAAAGAAACTTACTGTTTGCTTCAATTATTTTCATGGAAACGTAAATATTAGGACTAGATACATTAAGTTTGTTACTAATAAATACGCATAAATTTATATGATAGAAATGTGAGAGAAAAACACAGTTTCATAACTACTTTACATGAAAAATATTTTAAAAAATCATTATTTTTAATTTTTATAAATAAAATTTGTTTTTAGGCAATTATGTTTATTACAGTTCATCCCATATAAAAGAAATAATAGCTTTGCAACAGTTAATTGTAGTCATTTTTGCTGAAAACATGTGTACTTTTAGGTGACTGGATAGAAAATCACATCAGTTTCTTTACACAACTTGAGGTGATTCTCAAAAGTTTATCTAATAAAGCTCAAATTAATTAATATGGACTTAAAGCTTATTAAACGCCAAAGTGGGTCAGATGTAATACAGTTAAATGGTGATAAAAAAATCATATGTAATTTATGACTTTTTTTAAAATAGATCTTAGCTGTATTTGTCCACCCAATAGTCCTCTTTAAATAGTTTTAACAATGACAAACTACTTTTGTTTTAAGGAAATTTTGTCTAGTTTACTATGGAGCAATGATTTATTACTTAAATCAAATATTTTTTATATTGCTATTTAACTAAAAATGTGACTCCTAAGAAAACACAAATCTTAAATTTCCTACTTTTCTGTAGATCTTGTTTTCTACTATCAATCTTTTAAATATTTCCTTCTAATTACGGGACACCCTGTATATATATATATATATATATATATATATATATATATATTTTTTTTTTTAACTATATATATTCTTACCTTTGTTTGCTATATTATGCCTTTATGATCTCAATGGTCAGATTTCATCTCAAAACGATTTTCTCTATAAAACATGGGGTGACAGTAGTATTTGTTTGATTTTATCTAGTTATCCTTTATAGTTTAAAAATATGGCTATATATTTCTATTTCATGTTTTGTTTTTAGGATTGCCAATTGGGCAACATATTTTTCTCTCTGCTGAAGTTAATGGTGAAGCTGTAATCAGACCTTATACCCCTATTACATCAGATGATGATACAGGACATATGGACTTAGCTGTTAAGGTGAACTGAATATATTTCATATTGTGATATTAATATTTATGTGGTTATTAATATTAAGTATAATTAAATGGGACTATTAGATTAGGCTTATTAGTTTAGAATATTTAATGATATTATTTTGTAGTTAATTCCGATTGGTTTATTACATCATCTGTTACATAATACCTATTACATTACACAATGATATAAGATATATAGACTTAGCTATTATGGTGCACTGAATATATTTCAGTTAATGTTATTAATATTTATGTGATTATACAATGTTTACTTCATGAGTTTTTGTATTGATAATTATGACCAAAATTCATGAATGTGTTCTTTAAGGGTTAACTCCATTAAAAATGCACCAGAAGACTTTTTGTCATTGCCAAATTTTGTCATACAATAATTTATGTTCCAAATAGAGTGGTAAGCGAAAGTTGTGTGATGCATGCACCGGATTTTTTCTTCTCTTATTTACATACTTTTATACAGGGTGTTCCGTAAGTAGAGGAAAATTTCTATAGGAGTGATAGCAGATTTCAAAACCTTCAAAAAAGTTCATATAAACAATGGGCCTATTTTCAGCAGAAAAGTAAATAATTCAAGTTTTGTATTTTTTTAAGTGTCATTGTTTTTGTTAAATAGGAAGTGATAACTAAAGAAATATTTAACTTAAGTAATTAACAATTATTTTGCTGTAAACTAGACAAAATTTAGTTCAAATGAAAATACAATCATTATAGCACTTATAATAGTGCAATCATTAGGGCATATAACTATGCCATTTATGAGTACTTAATGATGTGGCAGCGGACTCTAGCTGCCAATGCCAGTCCCGCTTTTCTGTCGATTAAGTGTATTTTCTTAGTAACTGCTTCAAATATTTAAAAAAGTAATCAGTGTTTTACAAATTAAATTTATTCTCCAGATGTTTCATTTCAGGGCGTTTTTCATTATTGATGGCCGTTTATTTACAAAAGACACTTGATTTTCAACTTTAGTTTGAACGACTTAAATAAACTTCAGTTTACAGGTGTTTTTTATTGCCAAGGCCAATTATTTGTTAATATTTTTTCATGTTTTATTATTCTCTAACTAATAAATTAAACCAGCTTTAATAAAAGGCCAATTATGGCAAAATTAAGCCAAATGCTGAATCTCAGTGACCAAAAAACTAACTCAAGTCAAAGAAGTCAATCTGCTATGTTTGAACACCATTTTGGGAGAGTGTGGCCACTTTTTTGTCAGAACATTTGTTTTTTAAAAATAAATAGTTACAAGGAACTCAACTATATGTAATTTATTGGGATAGGGAGGGACAATGCACAGTTGGGGGTCTGGTCCACCATGTACTTTTCAAAACACTTCCTGACTACCGTCTACCGTTCCAGTCAATGGTTCATTATCTTCAAGGAAAACCAACACATTCTCTGGACGAGGTTCAAATTAGTGTTACAGATTTCTTTTGTTCAAAACTGAAACAGCAATATTATGAAGAAATCGAAATGAGTAAATTTTGAAAGCTCGATAGTTCATTTCCTGTTGGGTTTAGAAAACAATGTTATGTACAAAAACGTTAGATAGTCTTAAGTTGTTTAAGATTGAATATGGCTATTTTTATCTATTTTGCTCTAAAAAAGGAGATATTTAGCGTTAACCAAAAAAAGTTTGAAATTTCAATGGTTTTTGGAGCACTTCAGCGAACCCACAAGCTTTTCAAGGGCGGAAACATGTATTTTCTTATGTTTCCTTCTTACCTAGCAATAAAAAAAAGAAATTTGAATTACCCACCCTTTTGCAAGGTAACATGTCTAATTAGACTGGGCTATATGACAGAGATCTGGGAGAAAAATACAATTTTATAGTCACCATACAATAAAAATCTTTGAAAAATCATTATTATTAAATTTGTTATTTTATACATAAAATTTGTATTTATATTATTATTTTTATTACAATACATTCCAGATAATGAAAAAACAAGAAATAAAAGCTTTGCAACAGTTAATTGTAGTCATTTTTGCTGAAAACATGGTTACATTTAGATGAATGGATAGAAAATCACATGTAGTACAGTTGAAGGGTAATAAAAAAAAAAAAAAAAAAATTATGATTTTTTTTCAAACAGAACTTATGTTTGTTTAGCTGCTCAGAAGCCCTCTTTTAATTGTTTTAATATTGACAAACTCAAAATTATTTTAAGTAAATTTTGTCTAGTTTACAGCGAAACAATTGCTAATTACTTAAATTAAATATTTCTTCAATTATCGCTTCCTATATATCAAAATACATGACTTACTTAAAAAAATACAGAACATGAATTTCTTACTTTTCTGCTGAAAATAGGCCTATTGTTTATATGAACTTTTTTGTTGCTCGTGAGGTCTGCTCAGATCAATCACTCCTGTAAAAGTTACCCTCTACTTACCGGACACCCTGTATACAAGGTGTCTCAGTTCTTAATGGTCATTCTCAGGAATGTGATTCAAGACAAAATTTCCAACTAAAAATCTTATTTGATGCATGGGCCAATTTCAAATGAGAAATGAGTTAACTGCAATTTCATCATTTCTTAAGGTAGTCAGATTTGCTCTTTCATATGAAGCTATAAACACAAAGTATTTCATTCACTTAATTAAAAATTGGTTCATAGTAAATTAGATAAAAGTTCCTTTAAAATACAAGTAGAATTTGTCTTTGTCAAAATCATTTATAGGGGACTTTTGAGCAGCCAAACTACGCTAAGTTGTGTTTTTCATTAAATCATGGATTATTCGCGATGTTTTATCGTTCTACAACTATACTACAGATACCCCACTTGCCTAAAAACTTCATTGTTTAATAAGCTTTAATTGCATGTCAATTCATTTGAAGTTTGTTTTAGATTCATCTCAATTTATTTGAAAAATTATGATTTGATATTCTGTCACTCCAGAGTAACTGTATCTTCAGCAAAATAACAACCGAGAAATTATTACAAAGTTTTAATTTCTTCTTTTTCTTGATATCTGACATCTATTTTATGCAAATAAAATTACATAGTGTATGATAATAAGTACGGGAAACTTTCGTGGGATTATGAGGGCCTGAACTTTGGGCCAAAACGTTGTCAAAAATAAAAATAAACATCATTTATTTGTTTTTACTTTTTATTTTTTTGACTGAACACCCCAACTAACTTCTTCTATTTTCACTACAGTCAATCATCAATCCACTATTATGATAATAAGTTATTTTAATCTATCAATAAAGCAACTGAATTAGAGACATATTGAATGGAATAAAATTCAAATATTACTTGATATAAAACAGCTTAAGGAATAAATTTAATTATTTGGGGGAAGGTGATGCATTGCCAAGGGGCACCAAGCTCTCTTGAAGCTGCGTACAGCAGGCCTTTTATTGCTGTCATAGGCACTCCTAAAGTCAACAAAAGAACATGGAGATCTTCAGATGGTAGGACTATGAATCAAATTGACCACATTTTGATCAGTAGAAGGCACAGATATGACTAATGAGCTGCAGATCCTACCAGGGAGCTAATATGGATAACGACCATTATCTGGTGGTTTCGGGATTTGACATGGCCTAACTTAAAAAACCAGAGGTTAGCAACACAACAAAGCCAGAAGCTTGATGAGAGACAATCTTGAATGTCGGTGCTCTTGATTGCCTCTCTTGAGGAATAATGGAATGTCCTCTGTTCATTGGTTTGATGGAGAGTGTGCTACAGTCATTGAAGCAGAAAATATGGTCCAAAATCGGCACACAAGGAGAGCATCCGAAGAGTATTCAGACAGGAGAAGAGAAGAATAGAGGCTTCACCATAGAAAGAAGACAGAATGGTAGCAGAAGCAGCTTGAGGAAATGGAGGAATACAGCAGTCAGGGGGAGTCCAGAGGATTAACCAGAGTAGGACTGGCTTCAAACCAATGTCAGGGCATGTAGAAAGGAATATAACGGAAAAGAACGAAATACTGGTGCATTGGTCCTGTCCGTTTGGCTGCCTGCTTGGTGACATCGCGGGAGACTTAAAAGAGTAGGAGATGCCTGGTAGTGATGAAAATACAGAAATTCTCGATCCAGCTACTTATGATAGAATAGAATAGAAAAATAATTTTATTCTGGGACGAAGTCCCTTCAGAATAACAAAAAAGTACAGAAATTAAAATTTTACATCTGGCCAGATAAAAACAAACATAACAAATATAAATAATATGATGATCCTTTATATTCAACAAATGCTTAACAACAAAGCTCTAGGTGAGGACAGGATTCCAGCTGAGCTCCTGACGCATGGCGGTAAGGAGTTCTTGAGAGCTCTCTACGATGTCATCCTCACAGTTTGGATAGAGGAGAAAATCCCGGAACAATGGAAGAAAGGCATTATCTATCTACTTCACAAGTAATACAACATCCTGGAATGTTCCAACTACTGCAGTATTTAGCTTCTACAGTGTATTTAGAAGTTTCTCTCTAATGTCAAGAAACTTCTCCCATTTGCAGAGAGAGAAATTGGAAATTATCGGGCGTTTCAGAGGTGGTAGATCTACAGTTGATCAAATGTTCGGTCTCCAGATGATGCTCAAGAAGTCCCAGAAGTATCGATTAATTACTTACCACCTATAACTATCAATAGCATCAGAATATCGTATCTGAAATATCGATAGTTGATACTTTCATAAATATTATAAACATTTTTGAAACAGGAATATTGATATAAATATTGATTCTCTAGCACATAGGTTCATCAAGACAGATATTATTTTCCTATTTAAATTAATTAATCAAAATATCAATTCTTCTATCCTTAGTAAGATTTATTTTATAGTTCCTGTCCATCTTCTTCACCCTCAACTTTTTTCTAGAAATTTCTATTCATCCAGTTATGTCTTCCATTCACCCATAGATCAGATTCACCGAAATGCTAATTTATTCGCATCCTACATAGATTTTTTTGACAATTCGTGGCCTTGGTTTGAAAACGTTCTAACTAATAAATTAGGGCAAATTGAGTTTACTGAGTGAGAAGGGTCCCACGCGTGCTATAAAACTGTACTTAGGATGACCATTGATAGTCGATATCATCGAAATATCGATATTTTCCTCTACTATGCACTTCATTATATGAAACAGGCAAGATGAGTTTAATTTTTTTCTAAGGATAGTTTAAATTTAATTTTCAAATTAAAATATTAAAATATCTTAGGGACTATATTGATAGTTGATAATATCAAAGTAGATACTATCAATGGTAAAACATCGAATATCAGAAGGAAAATATCGATATTTCAATAATATCGACTGTCAATAGCCATCCCTACTGCGTAGATGATATGTGGAGGTTTGTGAAGACTATTTCTTGCATTTGGAGAGTTTTAGACTGTGGTGTATCTCTATTTAAAGAAAAGTATATTTTTTGATTTTTACCCTTAAAAATATTTTGTAGGTTTATAGGAAAAATACTCATCCCAAATTTCCTGCTGGTGGAAAGATGAGTCAATACCTTGAAGGTCTTGAAATAGGATCCACTGTTGATGTAAGAGGTCCATCTGGACGTATGAAGTATTTAGGACAAGGAGTATTTTCCATGAAAATTCTTCGTAAAGATCCAGCTTACACTGTTAAAGTTAACAAAGTATCGATGATAGCTGGTAAGTGTTGATAGCTTAATATTATATTTCAGGTTTCATTAGATGGTATAGTAGTTGTAATTCTAAGTTTAATTTCAATTTTATTTATTGATTAATATTTTTAATGATGTAGAGATGGTTGACCGTTGATGTAATATGAGAAGGAGTTGATCGGGGGTTGCGGTCAAATAAATACTAAATTAAATAATACTATTTGTTTAATTTAGTATTTATTTGACCTCACCCCCTGATCAACTCCTTCTCAGAATAATATTTTTGTTGACTCCTGGAGGATCAGGAATTCAGCTTAAATGTTTTGCACTTTTCAATCATGCTTGAAAATTTGCTTATCATCGTAAATGTTTATTTTTTACTCTAATAATTCTATTTTTTCATAAATTCTTGGAAATTGTACAAAATATTGAAAAGAGGATCTATTTATTATTTGTTCCCCTTACAATCTTTAATTTCAAGAAAGCTAGAAAAACCTTTCTTACACTAACCTTGTCCATCAGTTCCTCTCTTAAATATGTAAATGTTCATGGCTCAGTACACAACCTTTTTTATCATAATTTCATTTATTTTATTATTATCTTTTTCATACTTCCTGTCAACCCTTTATTCTTATGTTATTTATTTACTGCCTTATGCTTTTTGCAACATAATCCAATGAAAAATAACCATAAAAACTTATAAACCATGTTTCACTTTTGAGATTTGACACCTCTTACAGCAGTGATAGCTTAACTTTTACCATTGAGAGAAACCTTAGAAACATAAAGTGTAATCAATTTTGTATATTATTGTCTCCTCAAATAAACTAAGTTTTCAAGAAATAAATAAAAAATGAAAAGAAGTTTCAAAATGTTGACATTAAAAAATTAAGTTCTGGCCAAAACTTTTGACAGTGAATCTCAGTTTTGCTATGTTCAGTGACCAAAAAAATGGGTGTACCAAAATTTAACATACAAAAAACTTAACTCAATTTTTTTTATATTTCCTGTTCTATTTGAATAAAATTCTACTATGCTTTTTACTCACCTCTTTAATTATTAGGTTGTCCGCAAAATAATGCAGGAGTTTTCTTTAAAATACCCCTCTATGTAACAAATTATTTACGTTTACTGGATTATTCATTTGTATGAATGTCAACACTTATTAATCTTCTTTCATAATGTTTGTTTACCTCTGTAGCATTTCGCTGCTTCGAAATAACTCTGTCTTTACTAAGATTGTAAAAGTATAAGATAGTTTAAACTTGGTCAGAATAAGGTCCAGATGGCCATAAACATCAATCAAGTCTGAGGGCGAGACCAGCGTTAATGAGTGAACGTTGGTTCAAAATATTTCAGGAGGGAGACTTTAGCCTTGAAGGCAAAGGTTGTGGAAGGACTTCCTCTCTTGATATGAGGGCTTTGGTGGAAGAAAATCCCATAACAAGTGATCGAGAACTTGCAGGGAAACTACCTTAGCAAATCGACCGTCGATAACCACCTCAAGGCAATTGGAAAAGTAAAATAGCTTGAAAGTTGGGTTCCACACACATTAAAGGACTACCAAAAAAATCAGCATTATGAAGTTTGTGCTACACTTCTGTGCCAAAACAAAAACGACCCTTATCTGTCCAGAATGGTAAATTGTGATGAAAAGTGGATAATATATGATAACAAGTAGACATTCTGGACAGTGGCTCGACAAAGGAGAAGCAGCAGACATTTTTCCAAAACCCCCAACTCATCAAAAAAAGGTGATGGTTACTGTTTGGTGGGCTTCATTTGGTTTGATACACTACAGCTTCTTAAATCTGGAGGAACCATCAATGCAAAATTGTATTCTAACCAAATTAATGCAATGTATCAGAAATTGGCAATAATGAAGCCATCTTTGGTCAATCGGAAGGGGCCCATTTTGTTGCATGACAGCACCCGGTCACATCCGCTCTACTCTCTGGACCTCTCACCTATGGATTATCATTTGTTTAAACACCTGGACCACTATTTATGTGATACCAAATTTAATGGACAAAGGGAATAATAAATGCGTTTTTGGAGTTCATCAATTCTAAAGATAGGAAATTCTATTCCAAGGGAATGGAAAAGTTGCCAACACGGCAGAAATGTATTGGTTGTAGAGGAGACTATTTTGATTAAATAAAACAGTTGTAAATCTTTCTTTTTTCTTAAATCTTGCATTATTTTCCTGACAACCCAATTGTAATTCTTTATTCTAAATTTTAAAATGATATTTCATAAGTGTATTGCCATTCATTATTCAATACAATTTAATTTTATCTATTGATACTTCTATTGTACAATAGTTCTGTTAGGCTTAATCATATTATAAATAATAGTATGTTGGAAAACGTGTGATTGTCAGGATTAATAATAATCATTTTTATTTGTCGGCTCAAGACTTCCACTGAAGTCCTATACTACTACTAGTAATAATAAACTACTTATTTATTCTGGGACATGTCCCTTTTGAAAAATAAACAAGAACAAGTTATAGGATTTAGAGCCTCAGAGAAACAACAATAGAGAACAGAAAAAGGATAAACAAACAGAAACAGTAAGAAATCATGCCATAACCTTTAATATTAACAAATATTAAAAGAATAAAACAATAATAATAAAATTTAAAGATATGAAACTAACATGGAATAATAAAAATAATACATAAGAAAAAATTTATATACATATTTGCAAAGTTATCTGTTTACAATATTCGAGAAACTGAATAGATATGAAATGGGTAAAGAAATGGGATTTAAATATGGGGAAGGTATTGGTGCAACGGTTGTTGGGAGGGATGGAACTCTATTGGGATGAGGATCAGATAATGCAAAATCTGTGGGATTCAATGGTTTGGTGGGCCGTGGTATATAGATCAGAAGACCTAGAGTGGGTTGTGGGCAAGGTGGCCGAATGGGTTAACGCGTGTGCACAGTTCCGCCGTTGCCCGGCAACCTGATTTATGACAAATGATATAAAAATAGTCACGAGTTCGCGTCCCGGTGCCGAGGGAGTCTTTTAAATCCCCGCCCACACCCGCTGGCCTGGGAAAACCCTGTATAGCCTTAACGGCGAGGAATGGGAGGACCCAAAAAAAAAAAGACCTGGGTATTGTGATAATGAACTAAGGATTTGAATATATTTTTGTCACTTGTGCTTTCAATTCTTTTTATATTATTTACTTTTGGTTTATCCTTTATCAAATTTGTATGGCCCATGAATTAATGTTTCTTTGTTTAAAATTAAATAGATTTTAGGACCTTATAAAATTTTAATTATGTTTTTAGGTGGTACAGGAATCACACCTATGCTACAATTAATAAGACATATTGTTAAAGACAGTTCTGATAATACAAAAATGGCTTTAATATTTGCAAATCAAACTGAAAAAGATATTTTGCTTCGTGATGAACTTGAGGAAGTTGCCAAAAATAATCCTGACCAGTTAAAGTTATGGTATACAGTTGATGTTGCACCAAAAGGTATTATTTTGTTTATTTGTTAAATTACAAATTTAATATAATGATCATTTATTAATAACATTTGAAGTATATATTTATTTTAATGAATACAAATTTGATTCATTTTTCTCTCTTGTGAAACAGTAATTTATATATTTTTGTTTTTTATCATTCTCATTCTAAAAAGTAATGTCTAATCAAACTGTAAAGTCATTATGTAAATACTGTTATATAAGGTGGTGTTTTATACTCCCTGCTCAACCTCCATTTTTGTATGTTTTCAGAATTCATTATTTGTGTTACAGAATTTCATAATAAAGCTTGATCAATTAACTGATTTTATTCAACAATCGTTAATTCTACATATATTTATTGATAATGTAGTTTTAATGTAGTCTTAATTAAGATAAAAAAACATATTATTGTTATTTCAACCATAATAAAATATATATCAATAATGCAAAACATAACAATAGCAAATTCTTAGTGATATTATATTTAATAGCAACATTGTTACTCAGATATTATTACTGACTAGTTATTACCATGTGATTAAAAATAATAAAATTACCTAAATTTTATTGTAAATTATTGGTTGTATTTGACAAAATAACTAATTGAATAGGGTCCATTCTAGAATCAACTAAAGATGTTCTGACAGCCAAAACTTCATGAAAATAAAGTTTTAAGTGATAAAGTATTTTTTTAGTGTCAAGAATCCTTACTTAATTATGTTATGACCCTTCACCTTTTGCATAAATACACCATGAAATAATATCTTATAATTGTTTCTATTTATTATTCAAACATGGATTTACAATAGTTTTACTTTTATTAAAGTTATAATTGTTATTGTTTTGGAAATGAACTAATTTTCCAACTAACTTAATTCTATTGTATTTTTTTTTTATTTATAACTCTTTACTTTTTCAGATTGGCAATATAGTGAAGGATTTATTTCTGCTAAAATGATTGAGGAGCATTTATTCCCACCTTCAAATGATTCTCTTGTAATCATGTGTGGTCCCCCTCCAATGGTTAATTTTGCATGTATTCCTAACCTCGATAAACTTGGCTATGATCCTAAGCTGCGTTTTGCATATTAATATCCTAATTTATAACTTAGTGTTGTTATTTATAGTGCACTTTAAACATACTGAAATTAAAATGTATAATAGGTTGAAGCATGATCAGTGATGATACTGTTTCACTTAATAAATTGTTGGAATGTTAACAGAGGACAAGACATTCATATGAGTCTTGATTAGTTGAAAGTAGTTAAAAAAAGGAAAAAGAAAGAAATTGATGAGATGTGACTACTTATGCCTGCTGTGATAGAGAAAAATCACTAAGTAAACATGACACCAATCTTAATGGCATATTTTTGACAAGATGGATATTAGATATTTTGAAAAGTATTAAAAAAGATTAATAAATTTCATAATATAAGTATTTTAGAAAATAACTTAGACTGAAAAGGTTAGGAAAGACACTATGAAGTATGTCTTATTTTAATATTTCCTGATCGATATTTTAACATGATCACGTGTAAATTATATGATTGTTTATGGCTTCACAAGTAGAAAAGTGGAAAGTGGATAAGAAAGTAAAGTATGAAGATATAATATAAATACCTGTAGTCATTTTTTTTCTGTTTTTGTTTACGAGTGTTTTTGTTTTGAGTGTATTTTTCGATTTATTTTTTTAATTTTTAGAAAATAAAATTATTTATAAAAACAATGTTATTAATTTGATTATTCCTACATTTCCATTTTTTTAAAAATGTATTATATGGTTTTAATTTTAAATTCAGCAAACATATGTTTGTCAAATAAATATTGGTGTATATTAAACTTTTTGTTATCTTATTCCCATGTAATTAATGACTTTATCACATGGTTATACCATTCAAACGAAAAGTTATAGAACTTTTTGAATTTCTCTGCATTATTTATCCATTTTCAATTTTTAATTAGAAAATTATTTGAAATGTTTAATAAATTACCCTAGTTTTAACTAATTATCAGTTGTAAATATGTCATATTTGAAAATTTTAAGGTGAAGCAGTTTGTTAATAATTTTAGCATTCTTTGTATACAAGTAATTTAAATGAAGTCAACTTATAAGGACTATCAATTGTTGCATTTTTCCATGGAACAGAATCAACACAGAGACATAACATTTTTTAATTATTGATTAATCAACCTAGACAATTTTTAATGAAAGATAATAAATCAGTTTTTTAATTATTGATGAAAACTAACATTTGTCTACCTTGCTTATGATAAACTATTGAATATTTTTATTATGTTTGTTACCCTCAATTCCAAGCTCTGTTCCTTTGTCTCAATGCATCAAATTTACTGCTAATGCAATAAGAAATTGCTTGATACCTGAATTTTTTATGTATTCTGCATGAGTGCATCAACAATGTGGTTTGTTTGAGGTAGAAATGAATATTAATTTGTTTTATTTGGTATATATGAATGCAAGTGTTTGAATAATTATATTATTTTACAATGTGTTTCATTTCAAAATGTAAAATCTTATTTTTAGATTCAAGGGAGTGTAAGCACTCATTTTTCCATGCCAAAGAAATGCTGATAACTTAAAATATTAAGGACCATTGATTTAGAAATTATTGTTTATCATACAGGTTATAACAATTATATTTCACTATTTCATTTCTGTCCTCTTCAAGCTATTACTGGTATTGAGAGGCTTCAATCCAATGCTGCAGGTCCTCTCATTTATTGTTCATTTGCCTTTTTTCCTCAAAACTTGATTTATTGTTACCAGCTTATTTTAAGTCAATCCTATCTGTCACATTTATAGAAGTCATGAGGTTGCTTTATCCTCCCATATTCGAGAGAATGTCAATATTTCTTTAATTCAGTAAGAGAACCGGGAACATACTTTTTGATGTGTTTTGGACATAAGAATTTTAGTAGCTTATCTTAGCATTCCACCAAACTGTGTAGTAGCTTCTCCTGAGAATACCCCATCCCTGTATGTAAGATATTTCACTGCAGCTTTCAACATTTTATTTTTTTCTATTACTGTCCATTGTCACATGTTCTTACAGGTCTTATGGATTTTGTCAACAAGAACAATAAATGAGGGAGGTCTAAAGTTGTCATGATGTCTGACTCCTCTATCCATAGGAAATTATTTAGATTTGATACCATTAATTTTCACTACTCTTTTTCATCCTTGTATTTAGATTTAATTTCTTTTAGTAAATATGCTGATTTGGCAAAATAGGACTTGCTTTTACAAGTCTTAAAGCCAAAAAAGAACAAAAAAAATATGCATATTCTTTGCTATTTTCAAGTTTTTTGTTCTTATTATTATTCTGTATGTTTTACAAAACATTTAGGTGAAAAGCAGTGTTCTGTAATCATTGGTTCAAAAAATATTAATTTTCAATGTCGCCTTATTAGGCTTACTGATGAAAACGCCATATTTAACGGCTGAGGCTGGAATGACATCACAAATTCTAATCCATTGTTTACTTTTCATCCTGTACACACTTTACCAGTGTAGATATTCTATGCCTGTGTTGATTTACATTCTTTTCAGGTAGATGGCACTTTCTGTCGCAGTAGTGGATTCAGTATTTAATTTTTGATAGGAGCATTTTTTTTTTTTTTTATAATGGTAATTACTCTGGAAGAAAATATATGAAATGATTAAATGGTCTTTGAAGAGTTGTTAAGTTAAAAAATATATAATAATAAATAATGCTTTTAGTGTTAATTTTTTTCTTGACACATTCTTACATTTTATATAAAGCCATACATGCTTTATAATTTGGGGAGCGCGGTAGCTCAATGGGTTAGGCACGGAATTCCTAAAGCTCCTAGGTCCTAGGTTCGAATCCTAGGAGGGATGATCAGTAATTATTTATTCTGTTTCATCAGCCTTGGTTTGATCCTGTGGTCAGGTGCACACCCAGCCTCTATAAAGTGGGTACCTTTAAAAGGGAAAACCTGGTGGTTAAGCATGATCTTGGTCAAATCACCTTATACAACCGTTGACCAAGAAACAGTACTTCTTTACATAGTACTGAACCCAAGACCTTTCATGAGTTGTTAAATGGTACAGGTTCTTTTTTTTATGCTTTATAATTTAAAATATTGTGATTTTTAAGTATTTATCTCAGACTACTCACAGAAACAATATATGGACCAATAAAAAAAACAAAATGTTTATTAAGAATACATAGGGGAAGCGATGGGGTTAAGCTCAAAATTTATTCTGCTTTTTAGATGGAAATTTTCTGGCAAAATAATAACTCTCTTTCTAGTTAAAATAACTAAAATTTTATTTTACAGAAAAAATCCCATTCGAAAACAACAAATCATGACTTGGGAAATGGGAATCTGTCAGATTAATGTCTCGCATAATAAAAAGTGACCTTAAGATGGGTACATTTCAAGGAATGGCAGGACAAAGGCTAACCACTTCCCACTTCCCTAATAAAAATTATAGTGGATAGATGCAAAATGCTCCTCCGGCCATTACACCAATGGTCTTCATTGAAACATTTGGTTTAGCGATGAGAAAATTTAATCGCCAAAATGATTGTGTATACGCACACAGCTCTAAAAAAGCCCAGGAATTCATTGGAAGAGTGAAAAGAGGTCATCACCCTTCCTCAGTGATGGTTTGCTTTGATGGCACCAAAAAGCTCCATTTTTGTGAAAAAGGAGTCACAACAACTGCTAAAAACTATCAGGACGAAATTCTGGAACCTGCTGTCAAGTCTCTTAAGTGATACTCAGTGTGCTGGAAGTTATTGGGGTTTCCAGCAGGATTCGGCTCCAGCTCACAAGGCCAGGTCAACTCAACAGTGGCTGCAAAAGACCATTCCAAAGTTCATCTCTGCCTCGGATTGGCCCTCAGGAAGCTCTGATCTCAACCCACTAGATTATCGGCTTTGGTCCAAACTGAGGAGGATGGCATGCCACAGAGCACACCCTAACTTGGAAAGCCTCAAACAATTTCTGGTCCGAGCAGTTGAGGGCTTTTCTCAAGAAGTGCTGTGTGCTGCTATTGATGACTGGCCATGGAGATTTAATGCCTGTATCAATGCAAAAGTGGAACATTTTGAGTAATATCTTTTTTTGTTTTACTCTCTATAGATATACATTTTATTTTATAATAAAGTTTTTGAAAAAAATAATTTTTCTGCTGAAATCTGTATATATTTCCTTGTAACAATATTTATGACCGGACTAGGCATTGTCTTTAATGTAAATTCACCCATAGTCATTCATAATTGGTTTATTTTAATTTTTGTTTTTTATAACTTTACTAACTATATACTTTGTATATGCTAATAATACATTGCTTTGCCTCATCAAAAACCATTTGGACAGTTTAATTCTCAGCTATAGTTTTGTATTTGGGACATATTTGGCCTGTAAGAGTGTATATGTTCTTGCTCCGGTATAATCTAACATACCCTACAGCTGCATTAACTTATGATTGTCTCATAGACCTAAGAAAATGATAAATTATCTTATATTTAAATAGTGTTAGAAAGAATTGAACGGTGATATATAGTATAGTAGAAATTAAGATGAATTTTACAATATGTATTAAAAAAAAATAGAAATTTGAATGATAAAAGTCAATATGATTTTTCTTTTAGTTACTATTAAAATTTATATTTTACAACAGCACATTTTAATTACCCTCAAAAAATTATTTCTCTGTTGAAAATGAGAAGAAATTGTTAATTATAGGTGTTGAGGTATTGTATATAGTAATCAGAAGGCCTCGACAGAGCGTGTTCAATAGAGGGGTAATATGACTCAGTGGATGAAGGAAGATGATTAGACATGATGACCTCAAGTGTCAGGCGGATCAGCACCCAAATCACTCTTGTTCTGCGGTGTAAGGGATCAAGCCTTAACAATGCTCTATTGATATACTGATCTAACTGCCAGGAAGGTCTGATTTCCAAGCCTGAGGGCTAGAAAGATCATTCCTACATGGGTAACGATTGTCGTCCCCAAATATACTGATATTATTTTTTTGATCAGTTGATTTTATATAGCTTCAACTTTATTTAATGAAATAAATATGTATTACAAGTATAGTTATAAAAATACATTTTAGATATAACAGATTTACAAAAAATATAATTCATCTTGTGATGTTGAGCTTCTGATGGTGACACAGTCTCGTAGCAGGCACGTGAGCTATGTGCAGGGCTACTACATAGGGTTAGGAAAAATGTATTGATATATATTACGAATGGTGAACTGGAAATTTGAAGCTCATTGTAGCAATTATGTACTACCTAATACAGTATTAAGAATACCATGACACCATATTTTGGCTCATGTTACTAAAAGTTGTTGAAATCTTTCTATTATACAATTTTCACACTTTTTTATCCCTTTAAATCATTCTATTTCTATTGAAAATTCAATTATATTTTTAATAGATGTTTATAAATAACTTATGCATTATGTTTGACAATAAGAGAACAATATTAAATGATTAACTTAAGAACTGCGATGACTGCAGAAGGGTAATGACTCAAAAGTTATTGGACTGGACCATTTTTAAGATACTTTCTTTAATATTATTAATAAAATTTATTTTATTGTTATCTATTAAAAATTCATTATTAAATAAGTTATCCAATTTTATTAAATGATGAAAAATATGTTTAGGACATTTTTGATATTTTATTGCATTTTTTAGATAATCTATCTTACCTT